GGAGGCACGGGGGGGGATCACGTTGGGGGATGCTGGGGGGGGGAGAGGTTGGCAATGACCTCCCAAATTTTGGCTTCTCCCACCCCTTGGGTGCTGCAGAGAGGGGACAAGGGGAGACCTGGAGGGAGCTCGGAGAGGCAACCGGCACCCGCACCCCGTGGCGGTGGGTGAAGTGAGCGCTTGGGCTGGGATTTCCCCTCTGGGGCTTAGCATAATCCTCCTGGGAAGAACAGCTTCGAACTCAGCATCACCCTGCGGAGGAGGGGAAAGCACCCTCCAACTCTGCCCAGCACCACCCGGGGCGGCCGTGCCCATCCCTACGGGAGCCAGGGACCCCTGCCCGTACCTGCACCCTGGCTTCGGTCAGGTCCGTCCGTAGTGCCAGCTGCTCGCGGGCGTAGACGTCGGGGTAATGCGTCTTCTGGAAGACCTTCTCCAGCTCCTCCAGCTGGAACGTGCTGAAGGTCGTCCTGTTCCTCCGCTTCTTGCTCTTGCTCTTGCTCGTTCCCAGGGGATCGGGGAGCTCGGGGACCCCGTGCCCCCATAGGCTGCCCAGGGGTGCTGCCAGCGGGCACCCCAGCTCCCCTGGGGCTTTCAGGGGGGCCCGGCAGGCTGCGGGCACCGCCTGGTACCTGCCTTTGCATCCCTTCTCGCCGCCTGGCAGGGGGAGAGGCACGAGATGGGGTGGTGTTAATGACGTTAATGGTGTTAACGAAGCCAAGAGCCCCCCGTGCCCCCAGCCCCAAACCTGCCCTCCTGTCCCTGCAGGACCCAAGGCCCCAGGCACAGTCACCCCAGGGGGATGTGGGGGGTACAGTCCCAGGAGAAAGGGGCACGGCACGGGCACGCAGCGGGTCAAATCCATCACTGGGGAGGGCAAAAATCTCCGCTCCCCGGGGGAGCTGCGGGCTGGTGCTGCTCCCTGAAGGTGTGGGAGGGAAGCCTGGCTGGGGCGGTGGGTGCCTGGGGACCCACAGCTGGGGCTTCTGCTTGGGGACCCTCTTGGATGCTGCTACCAAGGGACGTGGGGTGGGCGAGGGGGGACAGAGAAGGCGAGGACGGGATCATGTTGCAGACAGGGTTTTGCTCAGCTCTCCTCGTCCCTCTCCTCGTCCCTCTCCTCCCGCTCCCTTCCAGCACGGGCTGACGCCTCCGCCCCGCTCAGCCGCGCCCGGGGCAGAGAGATGGGATCCACCAGTAACCCCAGCCCGCCCCGGCGCTGGGCCGTATCCAGACCCCCGCGCCTGAGCTCGGTTCAAGGGGAGCCTCCGCCTGCCCCCGGGCCAGCATTTCCCTGTAGCTGTAACTCTCAGGAAACCGCTTGGAAAGGAGTGAAAAATAAAACCGCCGGTTTTTGCTTAAGAAGAGCTCCCCTTCCCCACCCTCCCACGGGGCCGGGGGGCCAGAGCGCAAAGTATTTGGGGGTTCCCCCCTTCCCCTCACTGTTGCGGCGTCTCTGGGGCGTCTCATGAAATGGGTTGAAGGAGATAAGTCACTGCCATGCGTTTCGGAGGTCACCTTTGTCCCCCGGGGAGGGTCGTTTGTCCCCACGCGGGGACATGTGGAGCTCAGCGGCTCCAGCCGATGCCGGGT